CTTCAACTGGGCTCCTCGCGGCGCGCCGCGCGGGGTGCCGGGAGTCGTAGTGCGGCTGCGGGAGCCGGCCCCACCGCCGCAGGCGAGACGCCGTAGCGGCAAAACTACAACTCCCGGCATGCTCCGAGCAGCCCCGGCCGGGCGGCGTCGGCGCACTGCCCTCCCCGGAGACACCGGAGCGTTTCAGCGGCCGCTGGGAACTTGCTGACTCTTCACATTGCGCTCAGAGGCGGGAACGGCGAGCGCAGCCGGACGCGGTGCCTCTGGCTGGCAGGGAGCGAAGGAGGGAGGAACAGAGGAACGGACGGCGGACACGCACCCCGTGCTGCGGGGCGCCAAACAGTGCAGCGACTTGTTTATCTCGCCAGCTGCCATTCACGGTACGGCCCCGCCTCCCTGCGGGATGCTGTCCTGTAATTGGTCAGTTCTGCCTCACCGTGCGGCGGGCGGGGCGGGGCTAGGCCGGCCTCAGCGCTGTGGCGCTGCGGGTCCATGTTGGAAAGGAGAGCGTTTGGAGGCTTCGTGCGGCTAGATGCTGCTAAATAAACCGATCACTTACAGAAATACAGCGGCACGTACTGCGTTGGCGCTCAGATACAGCCCAGGCGTATTGCTCCGTCTTTCTGATCCGATGCTGTAGCAAGACTGTGCCCCTTCAGCCCCTAGAAGATTTTTACATAAACGCGGCGCTGCTTTGGGGTTCAGATTTCATCTAAGGACTTTGAGATCACAGAAACATTCAAGCCTCTTAATGTTGTGTCTCGGTTATCTCGAAGATTTTTTTTTTTTTTTTTAAAGTGTCACTGCAAGCTTACTTGCATTATGGAAGTGCCACGCAGAGGTAACAATATCACACAGAATCACGCAACTATTTAGGTTGGAAAAGGCCTCCGAGATTGAATCCAGTGTGTGTCCAAACACCATGTCAAGTACAGACCATGGCTCTAAGGGCCATGTCCATTCTTTCCCTAAATATCTTCAGAGATGGTGACTCCACCACCTCTCCAGGCAGTCCCAATGTCTAATGACTCTGTAAAGAAATTCCCCCTAATGTCCAACATAAACCTCCCGTGGTGCAGTTTGAGATGATCTGCTCTCTTCCTGTCACTTGTTGTCTGGGAGAAGAGGCTGACCGCCCCTGCAGCTTCCTTTCAGGGAGTTGTAGGGAGTGTAAGGTCAACCTTGACATGACCTTCTACAACCTGCAGGTTACATCCCGCTCTAGAAGCAAGGGACAATCCCCACCTTGCCTATTCAACTTAGATTAGTCATGCCAGCCGCGAGTGAATGAAGCAGAATTAAATTAGAGGGGAGAGTAAAAATGGCATCTCCCCATATACAGAAATGGTCTCAGTTTATCACCTGCTCTGCCAGCATTACTTACCACAATGGAAAGTTTTTCCACGTGCTGGATGGGAGGGGTAGGGGAGCTGATGAGAAGCTGTCATGGCTGACAAAGCACAGGGAGGTGTCAACTGCACGATAAGGTACGGTGCTATATATGATTTCTAGTGCATAGCTAAGTCATGAGGTCATAGCCAGAAGTTTGTTTCTCAAGGAAAGGCAGGAGTGTAACCATTTTGAGGTGGTTATTTCTTCCAGAAGGCAATAGATGATTAAGAATTTCCCTTGGGACAGGTAGCTAGCAACTGAAATTCTCAGAAAACTTCATCACTCATTTACCAAAGTAATATTTTCCAGAGAACTGCAAGCGCTTTGCTTTGCAGTTGTAGATGTGGGTCTTTCTGAGCAAGGCCTGATCATGAGCTGGCAATTTTCCTGAACAGGAGGAAGAGCACCATCAATCTTTCAGTATCAACATTAAAGACATTTACTAAAATTTGAGCTAACCACTTAAATTTTGCAAAGTGTTCACATCTTTGGTCACCTAGAAATCAAAACTAAAACTGAGAAGAAAGGGGCACAGACATAAAAAAGAAAATTTAACTGTAGAAGGTTATTTCACCCAGATTTATTCTGCCAATTTTAATATAAATGGGAATATTGACTACCCTGTTGTTGGTAATAATAAACTCTTCAAGTAGTTCCCATTGCCCTCTTTGAACAAGAAAAATAGCTGTTACTGCCCATTTTCGCCACTGAGGCATTTTTTTTACACTTTCAATTTTACAATGTACTGACAAGAATGTCTTTTCTTAGAATTCATTTTAAGTCCACAGTGCTGCTGAGAGAGGACTAAGAGCACCCCAATTATGGTAACCTGGCACTTGTAAACCAAGGCAGCATAATTTCTTCTCCACCCTATACTGTACACAGCTCCCTAGTGTTGCAAGCAGCCATTTTATCCTTTCTTAAGTAAATTAATTGTGCTTTGCCAGTAAATTTTTTGGCCCTCACTGTTGCTACTTGGAGGTTGTCCGAGAAAAACCTCTCTAACAGCTGGAAGCCTTTTCAAAATGTCAAACCTACATTTCCCTGTGACCAGTACCACGTCTATCTTTTCTTTCTGTGCAAATACTGTCCTGAAGTAGCCTTTCCCACTCTCCTGTGTGTACCCCTGCCAAAAGTATTTATAGACAGCAGTCTCATTTTGCTGGACTAATCAAGCCATGCTCTTCTCATTCTCTTCATGAAGGGAATTTCCCCTGCCAGTGAAAGTTGGACTGGCACAAAGCTGGTCATGAAAAACACTGAACATGATCAGTGCCCTGATTCCTTCTCTCGTGACACAGCCCTACTTCTACTTTCTGCATCCGTATGTTGGCCACACAAAAGCCACTAAAAGCGTAGAACCAATTAAACAATTTTTCTTCTAAAGTTTCAAGCGTAGGCCAGCTCAGAGGCTGGTAAGAATGAGGCTACCGTCTCATTTGTGCAGAAGTTTTATTGAATCATAGTTAAAGATGGAAGTGGGCACATTTTTTTCTTCTTGAGATTGGAGTATATGGCAGGATTCTGTTTCAAGTTCATAAAGGTGGAAAAAACTGTTTCTGTAGGCACAGGCTGTCAGACCTGCTGGAAAACAGCTGCCTGGCATCTCCTCTCCAGGTGGTTCCCAGAGGAGAAGCAGAAGCAAGCAGCCACTTACAGAGCAGCGACAGCAAATTGTTCAAGAGAAAGAGACAGAAAAATACTATGACATTTCCATTGCACTTCCAAATTAGTAGAACAGTTGTGATATTACTAACACATATTTAATAGCATTCATGTTTTCTTTTAAAGTGTTTTATCAATTGTATTTTTTGTTTGTGGTCAGATGAGAAATGACTACAACATTTTTAATATGCAATGCCATATCATTTGTTAATTGTGCTGATGCAGAAAGTTTGAGTAGCCCTAGCAAAGAAAATTATGGGCTTGCAGATTGCAAGCAGGACATTTTTCAGCCTGCCAGCCTAAATGAAGATGCCACATTGTCACTCATTAGAATCACCATTTCTTCCAAATCTCAAGTCACTGTGGTTAAGTTTCACAGGAGGTGAAAGATTTATCAAGCAAGACCGAAAGTTGAGGAATTGTGTATTCTCACCAGATCTCTAAACAATTCTCCAACACAGGTAGGACATTAATTTCTAATGTAAAAAGGAAAAATTTGGTTTTTTAACACATCGGGGTCAAGAAAGTGATACATGCAGAACATTGTTCTTCTTTGTAGATTGCCTTGCACTTAAAATATACTCTTATTTTCTTTCCAGCTTGTTTCATTCCATGGGCAATCTCTTAGAATTCTCTCTTCATTTGTTACTGAGGCCAAAAATAGGTGGTGGGATTATTTCTTTTTCTTGGCCACATTTGGAAGTAGTAGCACCTTTTCTTAACTCACTCTCTTTGTAAGCTTTTACTTGTTAATCTAATGGGAAATTTTTGATTCTTAGGGATCAAGATAGAATTTTTTTCCAGTAGATTTTGAGTGGGATATTAATAAAAATATGTACTCAGCCTTGACTACTGTCTGTCACATTTAAAGCCAATGTTGCTTCATTTCAGAGTGGAAGGATGGCTCTTAGAATTCCAAGAGATACAAGCAGAGAAACCTTAGGATGAATAGAGGTCTCATATGTATTGTAGTATCATCTCTACATAAGCAGAGAAAAACTAAAAGACCTGTTCCAGAATGTGTAGAGATATACTTGGGATTTTTAAACATATTATTATGAGTGTGAAGAGCCTAATGAAAGTGGGATAGCATACCAGAGGATTTCTAATAGGGATGGATTAGAAAGTCCCCAATTTGTTGTAAGTTTATATGTTATGATTCCCAGTAAAACTCTGAATTTTGGAATCTTTTATGTCAATTAACTTCTAAACCCTTATAGCAAAAATATTAACCTTATTATATTGGTTCAAAAAACAAAGTACATAACTAAGGGGCTCTATCAAGATTTTACAGTAAATCTAGAGAGCATGCTAGGAGTGAAAGAAGGGAGTGCTGACTTCTGCACTCATAATTATTTGGCTAGCTCTGTTTTGTTGTTTGGTTTTTTTTTAATTCATTTTTATAGTACCATAATCCAAATAGTACTAAACCAGAAACTTTGTGCTGCTTTTCTTGAGCATAATCCAAGAGCCTGGTCCCAGAATAGTCTGTACTGCTTTACTCCATATTAAGAGACATGTTAAGAGAACCCTTGCAAAAGCTATTCCCTACCTTCTCTTTGCAGACTAGCAAGTATGAACTTGAACTTATTGACAAAATCAAGGTAATTTTGAATTCAGAAACTAAAAAACAGTGTGAGACAGCAAAGAAAATATTTTTTTATGTGAAAGAATAGTGATTAAAGTGAATGAATTAAAATTAAATAATTCTGCATTGCTCACTGTGCTAGAGTTCATCATTATGCATCCATATCTCAACATTATTGCTCAAGCAGTGTAACCACATGTATATCTTTCTTAGGATATCCACTTACTCACTGTGAATTGTGAAACGAGATGCACAAGCTTATTTCATTTGGGGAGCAGCATGCAGTATGGTGGGCT